AGAGAGAGAGAGAGAGAGAGAGAGAGAGAGAGAGAGAGAGAGAGAGAGAGAGAGAGAGAGAGAGAGAGAGAGAGAGAGAGAGAGAGAGAGAGAGAGACAGAGAGAGAGAGAGAGAGAGAGAGAGAGAGAGAGAGAGAGAGAGACAGAGAGAGAGACAGAGAGAGAGACAGAGAGAGAGAGAGAGACAGAGAGAGAGACAGAGAGAGAGACAGAGAGAGAGATTTTGCGTGCTGATATAATTGTGTCAGTTACAACAAAAGCCTAGTCGACCTTGTGGAGCTCTCCTTTGAATACGAGATCCCGTGGTCAACATTCTGTTGTATCCCATGGTCAAACTTCTGTTGTACCCCGTGGTCAACATTCTGTTGTGTCCGTGGTCAACATTCTGTTGAATCCCGTGGTCAAACTTCTGTTGTACCCCGTGGTCAACCTTCTGTTGTAACCCGTGGTCAACATTCTGTTGTATCCCGTGGTCAACCTTCTGTTGTATCCCGTGGTCAACCTTCTGTTATATCCCGTGGTCAACATTCTGTTGTATCCCGTGGTGAACCTTCTGTTGTATCCCGTGGTCAACCTTCTGTTGTAACCCGTGGTCAACATTCTGTTGTATCCCGTATTAAACCTTCTGTTGTAACCCGTGGTCAACACTGTGTTGTATCCCGTGGTCAACCTTCTGTTTTATCCCGTGGTCAACCTTCTGTTATAACCCGTGGTCAACACTGTGTTGTATCCCGTGGTCAACCTTCTGTTGTATCCCGTGGTCAACCTTCTGTTGTATCCCGTGGTCAACATTCTGTTGTTCCTCTGCCTTCAGTTGCAAAACAATTTTGTTTTTTACAAAAAATTGCGTCATAAAACTGTGGATGAGGTGTTGATACAACATTGACATGTGTGCCAGAACACCACCAGATACTGAGCACCGCGCCACATAGATGACCGCCGGCCCTAAATCAAACCACAGACAAACCAAACACAGCCTATAATTGTTTGACACCCAGGAGACCGCATCGTGCGAGTAGTCGAACCGATAAATTCAAACAGTATGTATGCGACTACGATTATTTTAGATGCTCTTATCTGATATAATGTCACGTAGAGTATGTCAACCAATGCGGAAATGACCAGCTAATAATATGACATCCAACGACATGACATGGACATTGGCAGGACAGTTTTCAATTTCAGTCACAAATAGTACCATCGCCTTTACTCCAGTTACGCAACTCCGACTCCACTTAGGACGACTACACTACTAGCGTCTTCCTTACTCTCGATACCACAACCCAACGGATGAAGTCCATCTATATATATAAACGGTACGTAGGTTGCCAAGTCAGTTACTCTTGTGTCTTCTACTTCAGTCAGTTACCCTCGTGTCTTGTATTACAGTCAGTTACCCTTCTTGTCGGCACTTCCGTCAGGCGCCAACATGAACTCAAAGATGGTCTTGTTCTGTCTTGTCGGTCTCATCTGTCTGCAGTTGTCTCACCAAGCCAGTAAGTCATGTAACATTGTGATTGACATGTTTTGTAACATCTAGTGTAATGTAATTGTTTTATCGTCGGTGTGTCTACCTTGTATAGACCCCCACCCCCCCCCAACCTCCCCGGGATCGATTTCTTTATTAACTGCGGTGTTACTCCTAGTCTCATCAATGAAGTAAAATGCAAGATTAAATCATTCATTGGCCAATATGGCCGATGTGGCCCATGTGGCCCACGGGCTTAACAAGATTTTCGAAATCATCGGCAGCTTTTCATAAGTAGTGTTTTATTTTTGTATTTTAGATCTTATTCAACTGTTGTAAGGCAAAACAGTTTTATAAATAGTTTTCTTTGTTTCTCTTGCAATGTGTTTTTTTTTTTTTAAAGTATGTTCTGATTACTGAAGTATAACCTGTTTCCGGCTGATGTTCTTTCTTTTATTTCCGTTAGTAATTCACTCTTTAGTGCTTCTGGGCATTTTATTTTGTGCGCCTATTTTACAAAATAATAATAACGTAGGCAATCCCTTAAGTTTGTAACTTTTTTCTATTTCTTTTCATATATTTTGATCTGTTTGCCGAGGAAGGCTCTTAGCCGATACATTCTATCTTATTGTCCCGTCTTTCACATTGAAGCTTCCACATACCTTAGTCCACTATTTCTATTGAAGACCGCCATACACACATCGCATTAGAGATTTAATATATGTGATGCTATAGTGTTGCGTTGGGAGATGTCGACGCATTGGTTGTTAAGATGTTGTATTTATTATGTGTTGTAAATGTGTCATTTTGGTACTCAATATGATTTAACTTTATACTAGACAGAGGTTTAATGTTCTGTGACCACAAGCCCAGATGGTGTGTGTTTCCTCCTCTATTACAGGTGAGATCTGCTCCCTTCCACCTGTGGCAGGAGATTGTAAGGGCCTGTTCTACCGATTCTACTACAAGCCAGCCACCAAGACTTGCGAGCAGTTCGTCTACGGCGGGTGTCGGGGGAATGAGAACAACTTTCTAACCGTGGAGGAGTGCACTGCGGCCTGCGGCCAGTGAATACGACCTCGACCTTGACCTTGTGATACTGCTAATGTTTAAAACCGTGGCAGAGGTCACACAGTTCGGAGTTGAGGCTTGGACGGAAGATCAATAAAACAAAAAAAATGTCGAAAACATTTTAAAACACGTGTCTCAAGTGAATCATTTCTGCGAGTGCGTGTAAGAGTGCGTGGGAGTGTGAGTGTGCGTGTGAGTGTGAGTGTGAGTGTGAGTGTGAGTGTGCGTGTGAGTGTGAGTGTGAGTGTGAGTGTGAGTGTGAGTGTGAGTGTGAGTGTGAGTGTGAGTGTGCGTGTGAGTGTGAGTGTGAGTGTGAGTGTGAGTGTGAGTGTGAGTGTGAGTGTGAGTGTGAG